TGTCTTGGAAACATACCTCCAGTGCATAGTATATGTGTTGGGAGGAGGAGTAGGTCACGCTGATGTCAGGCTTTCTCTTTCAAATGGTATCTAGTTCACACACAGCAAATATACAGTGCTATAAATAGTTTCAGCAACATGAGCAGATCCTTTGGAAATGAATCAATAAAACAGATTGGAAAGAAAACATTTAATAGGTAGAAATGTCGAGTAATGCACTCTGTTTCCACCCTCCCACAATTTGTCTGTGGGAAATGAGTCTCCTCAGGGACTAATGGGTTATATACTGACTAGCCTTTTCCTTCCTCTGGACCCTCCAAACCTGTACATCTTAGTCCCATTCCCAAAAGAATCCAGAATTCCCAACTCTGTACCTTCTTATATCACCAGTACTTGTCCTTCAGAGTTTCTTTCCAACATTGTGAGATGTGCTAGTGATAGAAAAAATTTCTTTATGCTCCCAGATTACCCTTTGAGTTTTTGAGGGTGTCAAGGAACTCAGGCCGTAATCAGACCTCCATAATCTTTGTGTCTTTGCTCTAGTCTACCCTAGTCGATGTCCATCATTTTAATTTCCTCCTCTAACATTAGAGAATCAAGCCAAAGACCACAGTAAAATAACAAGGCACAACTCTCCAGAGACTTGAGAAAAGACGTCATATGCTGCCTCCACATGGCTGCCAGTCATCCCATTTGATGTAAAGCATCTGTCCGCTTCAAGGAAACAAGCGAGGTCTGGTTCTCTGTTCTAGCCTGTGAAGGAGGAGGTGGCCTCATTTGTTGTATTAAGCCAGGAGCCCTGTGTTAGAGGGTTGTAAGCTGCTGCCTGCCATGGTTAACACGCTGAAAATTTCATCGGCTGTGTTCAATAAAGACCATGTGTATGAGGGTAGACATTGGCACTTGTGGTTGTGTGTCATCCCTAGCCCTTGAGTTGCAGCTGGCAGAGAGCAGAGCCACCAGTATATAATAAGATGGACTGCCACCCGAAATTCTTTCATTCACTTCCATAACCAGGGAGGCTTGCAGGCCTCACATCACCCATCACACGCTGCTCCTACACCATCTCTTTCTGTCTCCTAGCATTTAATCATTTACAGCTCTGTTAATAAAATTTCATTTGAACGTTTACTGTCTTAGGTAATTATACGACTAAAAGGAGAATTCTACTTTACAAGGGGATAGATACATGATCTGACATACTTTGCTCTAAAAGATATACCTCTTCTAAGCAATTTCTTTGTTAAGTGCTGTAAAATGATAGCATCTTTGATCCAGAAGTGACCTTCATGACAGTGCTCCTAGCATGTTAATGGGAATAAAAGAACCCGGGGATATAGTTAAAATTTACATTCTGAATCCATAGGTAGGGCCAGCAATCCTGATTTTCTATCCAGTCCTGAAGTGCTAACAAGACTACTTTCTGAACTCAATTGTATGTCTGGAAGAACAGATGTTCCTCAGGGCAGTGGGTATGCATTAAGCCACAATAGCCACCACTCTGGAGGGAGACACATGGCAGGCTTGGGAACATAAGCCACTTGTCTTTGGATGTAAAGCAATGACATTTATATGTTATCTATGTTATATGTTATTTTTATGCTTTTAGCAAAGACAAAATTATTTATGTCCAAATCACTGTTGACACTTTCAAAGCAGTCACATTGGGTGCCAATGTCCATTACTTCTGTCAAATTTACCATTTACTCAGATAAGTTATGGGATGTCTTATGCAGTATATTATACAGGTTTTTGTATGTCTAAAGTAATTTCCCAATTAAAATAGGTATTTATAATACAAAATGTTATGATTATAATTAAATATGTAACCTCTTAAACTATGGATGTTCTTAAAATATGCACATAACTAGTTTATAGATATTTTTGCTCTTTAGGGAAAGCAATTAACAAATATAAATGACTTTCCTTGATCTGCCATCCCACATTAATTTGATAATATAGATTTATGATTATTTTTATTTAATAAGTAACATGCTAGGATGTGAGATACCAAATTAAATTTGTTACAAAAGCACCATTGAAATTAGCATTTAGAAATCATTCATCAAGCAGATTTAGCTTCCTTATTGTGTTTTCTTAGAAGAATACTAAATATTAATATTTATTCATCAACTAATGGTAGGAAGATAATTCCAAAGGACAGAAGAACCCCTGGGCTGTAGTTGAGAAACAATAATACAGGATATGTGTGTAACTCGGATGGTGTACAGCCCCAGTGGTTTTCATTTCCATCTCTTAGAGGAACAACCTCAAAAAGACTAGGAAGTTAATCTAGGCACAAGCAGTCAGAAATCCCTGGCACATGTTCAGGGACAATCAGAAGGAGATTTTTGGTTTGCAGTTTTGAAGGGATAAGATAAAGTGGGGAAAGAAGGAAAAAGAAGCATTATGATTTCATTCATTTTAACTATATGCTCATTATATTATCTCTTTAGTAACCCAATGGCGCAAATACTTCTGTCATCACACTTGGACAAGAATTGAGGTCCCAAGACCACACCCAGCTTGCCCAGATGTGCATTTCTTTGTGGTAGAGCTGGCATGTGAACTAGGCTATCTGAGTGCATAATCCCCGAGTGTTTTGAATAATCTCCCTGTATTGCAATTTGAGGCATACAAGTTACAGGTAGAGACACATTGGTAACACTGTAATTGAGGAAATAAAGACTGTCCCACAGAGCCATCTGGTTTCTTTCAGCCCAGTTCCTGGGCTTCTTCTACTTCTGGTTAACAAGGAATGGTCTCCAACAGTGATTCTCTCACCCTATTTTAGCATCTCTTATACTTGGGCCTGGAGATACATACAAACTAAAGTTTAGTACTGTTTATGGATAGTCATGTCAAGCACTGTGAGGAGACATAATTCAGAAATGTGTTCAGGCATTGAGGAGCTTGAGATGATAACAGTGGTGTGAGAGCAGAGTTCCTTTAGAAGATGAAGTAAGTGGTGTTATTTTGGGTCCCAGTGTAGAGCTTTTACACTGTCATGTAATTTAGAGCTGGGTGTATTTGAATTGGTTTTAAAATTAGAAACTGACCATCTTTTTTTTTATAAGTATGAAGTCATTCTAGCCAAAAAGTTGGTGAAAATCAGGCACAGCTTATATTTGTGGTATTATTTTTGGAAAGAAATAATGTAGAAAAGCTTGAAAATAATGGCTAGCAGTTTAGAACTCAGTAGAACTTGATGTGTATACAGAGACATTCTCTAGCCAGTGAAGTCAAAATTATGAAAATTACCAAAAAGCATATGATAGACTAGGGAAAGTAACCATGACATTTGCAGAGTATCTACTTTGTGATTGTATTCTGACATACGGATCTGTTTACTATTTTCATGTAAACATTCATTTCTATAAACATTAAAAAAACTGGGGCACAGGGGTGTTAGGCCACTTCACCAAGGTCATAATGGTTAAGCCAGAACTCAAACCCAGATCTCCTCAAAGTGAAATCTGGTCGTGATTTTTCCTTTCGTTTGCTGTGAACTATTACCCTCTCCCCAGCATTGATTTGGTTCAGAAATAATTGTTTTTCCAGTAAACAGTAGGGTCAAATGAATTCAGCTAAAAAATGCATGCATTGTAAAAATACTAAATCATAAAATGATTGGAAATTATCTTTGGCTTTTGCACAGAGTGAAGGACAATTAATGGTTGATACTATCTTCAAAATGAAAGCACAGTCTTAGTATATAAACATTGTTTGTCTGATATTTGAAATATATATTTATGTAGCTGCCAAAATGTTTGCTTTCTGTTAGCAAGAACTTCCTCGGGACAGGACATGAACAGGACAGCAGCCTTTATATTTGTAGATAGCAAGCAAAATATTTTTCCCATCACGATACACTTTCATTAACAGATATCTCAGAATTTGGAGACAAAAAAATCCTTGCAATAAGCTATGGTTACCACAATTTTTTTTTCACTTTCTTACCAATCCTTTTACATGATAGTTTTATATTTCACTTGCCATGGTTTAAGCATTACTTAAGTTTTTTGTTTATTTGTTTGTTTTTCTTCTTCCTTAAGTACTTTTCAACAAGTTATATAAATGGCTTTTTTTTTAAGTTACATTTTCCTATACCATATTTTAAATTGGTTCCTTTTTTGGTATTGTTTACTTGGATATATTTATATAAATATTCACCATTAGAAAAATCTAACAATTTAAAATTTTTAAATGTAAGGGCCTTGTCTTTGGAAATATTTTAGTTTAGGTTTGGGAAAGATGTTAAATTTAAATTTTTTTTCAGGGCTTCCTCTATGAAAATAACAATAGATCTCATAACTTAACGTTTATACACAGAAAGCCTAGAACAGAGCCAAGAAGAGGCAAGACAGCATGGACATCAATTTTCATTTTTCCCTCAATTTCCATGTCTTATCTTTGAAGTATATTTTTAATTGGTTTGCTTTGCTTCTGTTATGTGGTACTGGGACTTGAACCCAGAGTTTTAAGCAAGACAGGTAAGCACTCTGTCACTAAGCTGTATTTGAAAGTTTTTTTAGAAGATCAATTCTATCTGAAATGGTATTTATTTAAATTTGTTTCTTTTTAAACAGGGCCTATGTAGTCAATGCTGCCTTATAACCCTCACAATATAGCCAAGGATGTCCTAACCTGATAGGGTTAGAAGGATGTACCACCATGAACTGATACAGTTGAAAGTTTTTTTGTTATTGTTCCAAAATTCAGTCTGACTAGGTTATTCAGTCTCTTTAATGTTAACTATGGTTTGCCATTAAAGAGGAAGGAAAAAAGATACATTTCCTAACTGCCTGTCCTCCTTAAAGTACATAGCAGCTTGAAGATGTGTATTCTTCCTGTCTCTATTTGTATACGTTGGTAAATTGCTTACATCAAATGCCTCTAGACATGGGAATCATGTGCAGGAGAGGATGAGGATTTTTGTCTTCCCTGAAGGAGATCTTGATATGGCCTCTATATCACTCACCTCCTCTCTCTTGTTACAGTATCCTGCTGCTCTCATGAACCTAGGAGCCATACTCCATCTCAATGGCCGGCTCCAGAAGGCGGAGGCCAACTACTTGAGGGCTCTGCAGCTCAAGCCAGATGATGTCATCACTCAGTCCAATCTCCGCAAGCTGTGGAACATCATGGAGAAGCAAGGCTTGAAGACCTCCAAGACCTGACCCTTGAGGACTCATCTCCTCCTATGCTTGTCAAAACTGGCTTCATGAACAGACAGAACTTCCCAGCAGTGCTGTGATAAAGGTTCACCATGGACTTCAAGTCCAGGACAGAGGTCGTCATGGTTACTGCCACTGCTGGGAGAATCCACTTTGCTATGGGCACAGCCCTTCACACCAAAAAAGGGGAACACTGAAAACCTCCCGGAGGGTGTAATTGTTACCCGTAGACTGTAAACCAGAGCACTTAACAGGATTTTTGGCGTTCTTCGAAGGGAGGGGGGGAATCTCAGTTGCAGGCGTTATTCATTTTTGAAAGAGAATTTTGAAATTATATTGTTCCTTAAACACTGTGAGAGGAAGTCAGAGAGCCCATCCAGCCACAGTGAACTCATAAGGTTAAGTGTGAAGAGGGGGTGATTAAAGCGTAGTGTGACTCCCAGTGACCTTACGCTGTTGCTGTCTTTCCTCCCTGGGACAGCCTGCTTATTGAAGCTTATAAAACTTTAGTTTTAACGTTGTGTCAGGATCTGTTGGAATCTGCGGTTGTTTCTTGACTCATACACATGAACATTTTATGGTTTGAATGTCCTAGGCTTCCCGGTGTTGAACATCCTGTGCTTGTCATGTCTCGAAAAGAGCATGGAGAGAAGAGCTAACCACTTGTACAGGTGGTATGAGAGGGCCTAGGGAGGCCTTGGGTGTGTGTCACAAGGCATTTTCATTTTAACATTGTCAGCATTTTCTCCAATACTGTTCAGTAGATCTCATTGTATTAATTCTTTTGAAATTACCTTTGACAATGTCTATTCCTGGTTAACACACATGCTCACTAAGGGACGTTGTGAATGTTCCATTCCCAGTACCTAATAGTGACTATATATGGCAAAGTCCTTGGTGCTTCCTAGACAACGGTTGTTATAATAAGTCAATGAAGGAAGAGTGCATAAGGATTGTTGTCGATGGTTTTGTGTTTTGGAAAGAGCTGGTGTGAAATACCCATGAATTCGTAACAGATGCTTAAACAGCAATGGAGATGAATCCTTGAAGATTACTTTATTTTACTCTTCCTGAAAGATGTCAAAAATAAATTATTTTAAGATATCATAGAGGTAAGAATCAGCCTGCATATATCTATGTCTTCTGCCAAATGCTTTTCTCGGTTGAAAGATATTTTCCAGTAGAAAACTGAATATTTTATTTCCTTACCTACTACTAGGTATTTCAGTGATAAGTTAAAAACTATAAAAAGAAACAAAAAAAGAATCTATTAACATTTTTGGCTTGTACCTAAAATTTGCTACTAAAATTAAATTCCTGGAACACCACCAGTCCATTAGCAACTTCTTTGTAGAGAAATTAACTATTATATTCCCTACATATTTATTTATTTATTATCCAACCACAGCAAAATAACAAACAACAACAAAAAAAAGATTTGTTAAGCCAGTTATTTGCAACTGAAAATTAGCTTTTCTCCTTCCCTACTTTATGTATATATACATATATGATTAGTGATTCTATTGAAGGGAAGCTGGACATGCAGAAAGTACTATGTTTTCCCCTATATTATCCATTGTGTCATGTATCTGAATACGGTAGATAAAGAATTTGAAGTAGTGGTCCTATGGCCATTAGTCTCTTTGTGAGAACGACAAATGTAGTGAGAGTTTTTGATAAGATTAATGAGAAGGCCCTCTTACAATATGTATATTATTTTGTAAACATTTCACTCAAGGGCCAGAAGTTAAATTATAACTAAATCACTGTGTTGTCAGAATAATATTTAACATTAACAACAACAAACCCATGGTCAACCAAAATGGTGGTTTGAAGCATATGTTTCATTTTCTAATGCATTGGCAATTAGGACAAAAGGAAAAAAAGAATTTAATATAAGGCTATAAAGATAAATTCAGTGTCTAACACTTTTTATTTATTTCAATAGTTGTTGTTGTGGCATTCTAGTCTTGACATTTTATGTCTTTATTGTTACTGTTTCTGTTTTCCAACACTTAGTTCCTTTAGGTTCACTGAGTTCACAGTAGCCACACTTCACATGACTCAGCTTCCAAGTGGTGTTAATAATTGGGGCCTGCATCATAAAATGCATGGATCTTTAATACCTACACATCCCTGACACTTTTCACTACAGGGCTGGACTTAGTAACTGACCAACTCGGGGAGGGGAGGGCTGGGTTGTTAGAACATGATCAAAATGTCTCTGCTCAGGGATTTATGGTGGATCATTGCAGACAGTGCGAAAAATGTAGAGCACAAGACAAGTTTACTAAATTAAAATTTTATTTTTTGAAAAACTGTTATTTGTATAAATTATCAAGATTTGTAGGCTTTCCTTTTGTAGAAATAATTGTTTTATGTGCCAGAGAATTTCAATTTTGTTTTGAACAATAAAGCATTGATAACAAAAATGTTGTGTATTGCTTCTTCAGAACTCTTCTATAGCAACAGCACTTAAACTCTGGCAATCATTGTATTCTGTTTTGTGTGAGACAACATCTCACAGAGTTCCCAGGGCTGACCTTAAACTTGCAGCAATTCTTTTCCATCAACCTCTCAAGTGGCTTGCACCACCATGCTTATCTTTTAAAGATTTATTTATATAATATTTTGTGTGTATATGCGGGGCATTATGTACATGAGAGTTCAATTGCCCTCAGTCTACAGGTGTCAGATCACCTAGAGTTGTACTTAAAGGCATCAGCTACCCCACACAAGTACTGAGACCCAAACTCTGGTCCTCTAAAAGAGCCATCATGTATTAGGTGTATTAGTTACTTTTCTGTTGCTCTGATAGCACCTTGTGACCAAGGCAACTTAAGGAAGACAGTGTTCATTTTGACTGCTGGTTCCATGGGGACAAATGTCACAGTGGTGAAGTGAATGACAATAGGCAGTAGGCGTAGTGACAAGAACAGGAACCTCGAGAGTTCACCTCTTAAAACACAAGCAAGAAGCAGAGAGGGAGAGCACCGGAAATGGCCGAAGACTTGGGAACTTCAAAACCTTCCTCAAGTGATACTCTTCCTCATCAAGGCTGCATTCCCTAGCCGCCCCTCCAACAGCACCATCAATTGGGGACTCAGTCTTCAAATACATAAGCCCATGGAGACCATTCTCATCTAAACCATCATAAACCAGACACACTCTTAATCACTGAGTAATCTCTCAAGCCCCTACGATATTTATCATAAGTTTTGGAATTTTAAGGTAATAGAAGAAAAGTTGGAAAGAGTAAAATTTAAGCATCAAAGATACATATATAACATATAAGCAATAATTTCCAGCAATAATAAATAATAATATAAATTACCTGTACTACCTAGCTTTCTGTATTCAGAAAAGATGACAACATTTTGCTTTGGTTACTGAAGGACGGAGAAAAAAAATCTAAGAACCATTCAAAACAATGCAAATAACCAGCTCACTTATGTCAATCAATTGAGTAAAAAATAGCCATACCAGAAGACTGGTTCTCCAGTTGTTGTTTTTTACAAACGTACAACCCTATTGTGCTAAAAAAAATGTAGGTGCAACACATTCAGGTGTCAATGATAAGGAGCTCTCAGGTGACCATGTGCCGACGTCCAGAGAATTCTGATCCTGTTGAACTTGGTATTCCATCTACAGCAGCACGGTTTTATATGAACTATCTCCTGCAATAGAAGATAAAAATCTGGCTCTGAAGGCGTTATTGTCTGCTAAGCAGGCAATGGATGTGTGAGGCATTGTAGTTTTACAGATCAGGAAACTGCATGAGAGGTGTCAATCATCTCTCATCCGTCAGCTTGCCCAGTGTCACTACCCTCACAAGCAACAAGTCTGTCCTCAAGCTGTTCTGTGTTCCTGTCTATAGTTTTCAGCACTTGGGCACTGTGTTAAAATTGGTACTCAGATTTTCCAGCTCTCAGCATTCTTCTCACTGTTTCCTCACCTTTCATGACACCTCTGCCACTGCAGATTATCGTTTAGATTAAAAGATGCAAGGAAAGGACAATAGCTTGGGACCAGGTTGCGAGAATTCAGTGATCCATAACTGGTACCACTTACTTTCCACCTCAGGAATAGAAGGCTCACAAGTTAAATGCTTTAAACTCTGATCCCAAAGCTTGTGAGTAGCTGCATCCAAATGGCTATAAAAACACTCAATTACTAAGAGGTCTTTCCTTAGTCAATGACATAACTGCACATTTGATTGTAAATCGAGACATCAGTTTAGCTGTACTGCAAAACCACTGGAGGAACAGACCATGTCTCTCTCTCTCCTGGCATTGTTTCTACAGCCTAGCACACTATTGTTGAGTAAAAAAAAAACCATAAAATATGCACATGAAAATCCCATCTAATTACTTGTAAGCTACTTGATATTTTTCAAAGCACACCTTGTAAAAAGTTCTGAGATAGGCAATAAATGACTCTCCATTTGTATTTCACCAGAGTGATGACAGTTTCTACATAGTATATGTTTCCAGTGAAAAGAAAGGAAATACATTAAGTCTTGATTATTCTTCCTAATGCAAGGGAATAAATGGTTTCTGTGGGTAGCTAATGTGTTAGAACAGTGGCAGCTCATTTGTATATACCTTACACCTTTAGAATATGTTTTTTCACTTAAATACTATACTAGTGTAATAGTACGGTAGTATGGAATTTGCATCTTACCATTTAAAAAAACTAATGAAGGAAAATTTCTAGAAAAAGAGGTTGTGCATGCATGGGATATGATACTTTAAGGAGAGAGAATTGAATTGCAATGCAACTGTGCTAACTTATGCTTGTTTCTGCAAAGCAAAAAAAGCATGTGTTCTGGAACTTTATCTTACTTTGTCATTTTGGGTGGTCTTCCTGCAGAATGCAGACAGCCTTTGAGCCATTCTGTCTGCCCCTCAATCCCATATTGGCCTTGGGTTCTTGTTGCTGTAGGCTTGAGCTATAGCCCACCCCACTCCCACCCCTACCCTCAGAGCACTAGTGGGATTTAAGTTCCATGTGAATTGCCTGAAATTCTTATAGGAATTATAGGAAGCTTTCTTCCAGTTTCTGAGACCTCCCACTTCCTTCAGCTGATTTCTGGTGTTATGTGTTAGTTGTCTCCTCTAGAAAAGGAAGAACTTTTATGCAGCAGGACTATCTTAAGTGAGAAAGCTACACACCACACACACACACACACACACACACACACACACACACACACACACACACACACCAGATAATGTGATAAGTTTGGTAGC